TCTCAGTTATATATGCATCAGCTTATTTTGGTGTTCACATATTCACTGACTTACCAGCAAAGTCTGAAGGAGGTCTGGCACACATAAAATATGTTATTAAGCATAATTTCATCTAGTCGAATTGCCCTCCTTTGTGACTTTGCCAATTTACTCCATGATGCTTACGATGTGAAGTGCTCATTTTGCTAAACCGTCCTCCGGTATGCATTACCCTGACGCATGTTGCGCTCTCGTGCTGTGTTGCTTGATGTTTCACTAAAGTCTTTCACTATTTGTCTTCAGATACAAAGTTATTTAGCATTCACATGATCGAGGATGTACAGAATCCATCGATACAGTTTATTCACTTGTGCAAAGGATTACTTTATTACATATAAACAATTAAAACGATTAAAAACATGTGTTTTCAGATAATCGTCGATGCGAAAATAGTCTTTCTGACGTACTGGGTCCGTCATGTGAAGTTGAAAGTGGTGACAGACGAGTTCGCGAACCATGTTTTCCGTTATGTGAAGAATATTATGGTAAACATTTTTGTGACCACGAGAAACATGAAATTATATGTACACATATATGATACCCGGTTAACTGAATAAGTTAGAAATGAGTCTTATTTATTAGTTAGACGCATGATATCGACTGGGTGCTCGCTCACGCAACTCGAGTAGTTACAGAAAATTTGGTGTTGAGCGCATGACTGAAGTTGCTGTATTGAATAGTTCCTTCTTCAGCAGAGCTGGGTGGTTTTGGTGCTATAATGCCGTTGATCCGTGACCGTATGAAAAACTAGGGAAACGGTATCTCGAATAGATCTAGGATATGTTATCTCGGCAAACAGTATCAAATTGCATTACCATCTCATCAGTGACATCTTGGAGTCATCCTCAACCAGTTAAACTGGAATGACAGTATAAGTATTGACAGAGAACAGCTTAGGTATCTGTTATTTGCATACGACTGCATTGTTTTCGCACAAGATACGATGGAACTCCAACTGAAGGTCCAGCAATTGCGAGGAGAATCACTCACCATTGAATTTGAGGCTAACCTCTCCAAGAAGAAATAAAAATAG